CACAGCCTTTCCTTCATTCACTGAGGCAGGTCACTTAGTCATAGAAGGAGATCTTATTGGTCAGGCAGGTCCTGCCTTTCATGAACTCATATTGGCTGAGCTTGATCCCCTAGTTGTCACGTATATGCTAGGTGGTCGTCCTCAAGATGATCTGCTCCATAACTTTCCCAGATGCCAAGGTCATGTTGATATGCCTGCAGTTCCCCAGATCCTCCATCCGTCCCTTCTTGTAGGTGGGTGTCACACCGGCAAGTCTCCAGTCATGTGGCACCTCCCCTGTTGACCAGGCCTGCTGATAGATGATGAATCGCAGCTTGGTCAGCACTTCTGCCAGCTCCCTCAGAACCCTCGGATTGATCCCACCTGGACCCATAGCCTTGTGGGTGTTCAAGTGGAGAAGCGGGTCACTGACTGCTTCCTCCTGAATTACGGGTTTCTTCTGTTCTCCATAGGTGTCTTCCAGCTTAGCACGGCTATTCCATTAAGGATAAGTGCTCTGAGTGTTAAAGACTGAGGCAAAGAAGGTATTAAGTACCTCAGCATTATCCTCATCCTTGGGGCAATGTTCCCTGCTGCATCCAAAAGAGGATGAAGATTCTCCTTGGCCCTCCTTTTCTTGTTAATGTATTTGTAGAAACATTTTTTGTTGTCTTTAAACTGCAGTGGCCAGTTTGAGTTACGTCCAAGCTTTTGCCTTTCTCATTTCCTCCCTACGTACATCCCAGTGATGTCCTTGTACTCTTTCTGAGTTGTTTGCCCCTTCTTCCAAAGGTGATAAATCCTTCTTCTTTCCCAGATTCTCAGCAATAGTTGTACATTCAGCCAGGCCGGGCGTCTACCCCTCCGGCTCCTCTTTCGGCACATGGGGATGGCCCACTGCGACTTTAAGATTTCCTTCTTGAGAAAAGTCCAGCCTTCATGAACACCTTTGCTCTTCAGGACTCTCTCCCAAGGGACTCCTCAGAATAATGTCCGAAACAGTCCAAAGTCTGCCCTCCAGAAATCCAACATAGCTGTTTTGCTGACATCCCTCCCAACTTCGCTGAGAACGGAAAATGCTACAATTTCCTGGTCATTATGTCCAAGATGGCCTCCAATCACCACATCTCCCACCAGTCCTTCTCTGTTGTCAAAGAACAGGTCCAGTGGGACTCCTCCCCTGGTAGGCTCACTTACCAGCTCTGATAGGAATTTATCTTCCATGTACTCCACAAACTTCCTAGACTGTTTCCTCTCTGCCTTACTGTATTTCCAACAAACATATGGTAAGTTAAAGTCTCCCACAAGAACAAGGGCTGCTGATTGTGAGACTTCTGCCAGCTGCTTGTAGAATGCCTTGTCTGTCTCTTCATCCTGGTTGGGTGGTCTAAAGCAGACTCCCGCCAGGGTATCAGCCTTATTTGCCTTCCTGACGATCCTGACCCATAAGCACTCAACTTTTCCATCGCCCACTTGGAGCTCCATGCATTTGAAGGACTCCCTAAGATATAGTGATACTTCACCTACCTTCTTTCCTTGCCTGTCCCTTCTGAAAAACTGGTAGCCATCCATTGCAGCACTCCAGTCATGACAGTGGTCTCCACTGCGTTTCAGTGATGGCCATTATGTATGGCCATTTCCTGACGTGCCATGGCCTCAAGTTCCTCCTTATTGTTGCTCATGCTGCATGCATTGGTGTAGATGCCCTTCAGCTGGGCTACTGAGCTCTTCCCCAAAGAGAAGTACTTGGAAAAATTACTTCTGTATTAGCTGCACAGATGTCAATTTGTCTGTTATATATTAGTGTCCAGCTTTACATTAGTCCAGTGTCAGCTATTTTTAAAATTCTCAGATGCTTCCTTAAATTCCCATGCATGGTCTCTGTCAAGGAAGTGGGTGTTCTGTCTTTTTGAAGAGAACTGGCAAAACAGATTATATTGTTAGGACTCTATAGATTTAAACAAATCTTTTTTTTTACCCTCTTGGTTAGGCCCCATGATCTTTTCCACATGAATCACAGCTGGTAACTGGAAGATGCTTCTGACTACAGTGTCCTGACAGATCCTCTCAAAAGACCCAAGATTTAACTCTGGGAAAAGAGTTCTCATCTATGCAACAGGGACATTATCCATCACATAGAAGATGTACAAGACAACAGATAATGCTAGACAATGTAAAATGTCCTTTGTGTCAGCATTCATGAGGTCTCCAATATAAAGTATTCACTCATTCTAACTTTTAACATCCTCTGCTTTTCAGACTTCTTTTTCTAATTGCAACTTGCTGTGAATTACTTTCCTCCTTAATTCAGTGATACTTATTTATAACAGTTTTGTATTTACAACAGGACTCAGTTTTTATAGTTATTTTTAATCAGAATTTGCACTTCACCTAGACTTCATGGTCTTCTCTAGTTTCTGCACCTCTGGACAACTTGGTAAACAATAATTAGAAACATCACCAAAAAAAGACGGCTCTAGATTTGCTCTAGATCTTTCCTGTCGGACATGATTCTTCTGGATTTCCTTCGTTTTTACAGGACACAGTGGTTCACTGATACTTAACACTGATGAAATCTTCCAAGTGTAAGCACTTGTGAAGCTGAATGCATTACATTCAAGTTTGCAGGACAGTCTGTACATGCTCTTCTATTCGATGTATGCCTTCTGGCAACTTCAGGAAGGGCACAAGGCAGCTTTCTTTACTGCCATGACTCATCATTCAAGAATGGTATTTAAGTAGGAGAAATAGAAAGGAGAAAAAAAAATCTGGGAAGAGCAAGTAGCAGCCTGTGGCTTTTACAAACAGAATTACACTCTTTTTCCTTTTTAGTAACCATCTTGCTAGGAAATCCCAGGAAACTCAGAGCCTTTAAGTTTTTATTATGCTGTAACTAGACTGCGTGGAAATACTATATTAGAACATTTCCTACTTATAATGAAGTAGAAGTTGTCTATGTGTTGTATACAGTAGGGTTTGGAAGTGAGAAAGTTTATGGATAAAACTCACTCCCTTTATATTGATAAATAAAAGCCTTAGCTTAAAGACCAAATGTTTATAACATAGATCAGTTGTGGGAGGAGTGTACACATTAAGCCTCACAAATATCAAGTGCCTCAAGTTCAGCTGCCAGCAACTTGAGGTAAAGACATGTGAAGACAAGCTCTGGTGGGAGGAAGTATTAGGATAAAAGAGGCTTCCTCTGGGTGAGCTATTTTGCATCCTGGGCTTTCCCCAAAGCAACAAGTAGTGAGTACCATAGGTAAAAGGATACTAGACTAATTCACTCTAATTTATGAAAGCATCACCAAGGTTTCTGTAGAGGTCCCAGAGAAACATCTTGATAGTTTTCCTGATATTCTGTGTAGTTTTTGTTAAAGCATTTTTCTATTTTACAGACAAGGTCCATTTCCTGCCTGTGAATGAAGGGTTTGCAAATGAAGTTATGTACTTTTTCATCTTAGTCAAATTTGGTTAGATTTTGTTTTACTACCTTTTTAGCCAGGAAAGAAAAGGAAAAAAACAAAATATTATATATAGCATTTAGGATGTGAGGAAAGGGAAGAAAGAAAAGGTGAGAAATAATATAAGGAAGAGGTGGGACTCAGCTGGCTAAGAAATAAAATAGCGCATGAAGCACGTGCTATAGCATACTTATAGCAAGAAGTAAAAGGAGAAGAGGAGGGATTTTTTCGTGCTTTTACTGTGAGAAGGCAAGGTAAGTATTTCACGCTTGTGTTAAAAAAAAAATGAAAAGGATCAGTATAACAGGATCTGTCACCCAGATGTTTCAAACTATTCTTTACCTAGGAGTACCTGAGACAGAAAATTATTTAAATTTGACTGGTAGCTTCTGGCAGCCTGTACAAAATGATCTGATGGTTATTTTCTGAGGAAGTAATGTTCAGGTTCCTCAATTTCACAGGGTACTAATCAGTCCTTTTGTTGGCAGTCTCTGTAAGAAGGCCTGTTACAGCAAGAACATGGAAATAAAATTGCTCTTTGCCTTAGTAGTGGTCTTGTGGGCTCAGAAAAGAACCACAAGGGGAAAGTACAAAGTGAGTGTAAAAGTTCACGTTTCTACTGTGCCTCACCTCTTCCAGGGAAAACCAAAGACTTTTGTCAGTCATCTGTCCAAGGCAGGTGGTTTTCTTTCAAAAACACCTGCAGAAAAAATAAGCTTAATTTAGTTATTATTAATACTCAACCTGAAAAGGAGAAAAATACCAGCTGTATGCTGGGTGAAACCACACAGCAGGTTGGCTCAAGTCAGCTTCACAGGTTCTCAAAACCTCTTATCTTCAGCTGCTTTCACCTTGCACAGCTGTCTGCTACCCACTTCCTTGAATTGGTAAATACTTTATGGAAATGTCCTCGACACCTGATGACAGAAATTTGTCAAATGTAATCTCACAGAGGTTATTTATTTTTTCTTCAGTGCACCAGTTTGCAATGCAAGTCCGCAAACACTTGTGCTATCTCAACTGAGGAGCGGTAAACTGATAGTGAGGGGAGAATCAGTAGCACAACATGACAGAATGGTTGGAATTGAAAGGTACCCCTGGAGATCATCTAGTCCAACCCTCCTGCTCAAGCTTACATACAGCACGTTGTCCTAGACCATGTCCAGATGGCTTTTGAGTATCTTCAAGTAAGGAGACTCCACAGCCACTCTAGGCAACCTGTGCCAGTGCTCAGTCACCCTCACAGTAAAGTTGTTTTTCCTCATGTTCAGATGGAACTTCCTGTGCTTCAGTTTGTGCCCACTGCCTCTTGTCCTACCACTGGGCACCACTGAGAAGAGTCTGGCCCCATCTTCTTTACACCTTCTCTCCAGATACTCATTAGGAATACACCTTTACCAGGCCAAACAGTTCCAGCTTCCTCAGCCTTTCTGCATATGAGATGCTCCACCCCTTAATAATTTTAGCAGTCATTCGCTGGGCTTGTTCCAGTAACTCCATGGTACCCAGGGCTGGACAGAGTACTCCCGATGCAGTCTTCTTAGGGCTGAGTAGAGCGGGAGGATCACCTCCCTCCACCTGCTGGCAGTACTCTTCCAAATGCAGTCCAGGATACCATTTGCCTTCTTTGCCCACAAGGGCACATTGGTGACTCACAGTTAATTTGGTGTTTACCAGGACCCCAAGGTCCTCTGCAGAACTGCTCTCCGGCAGGTCAACCCCCAGGCTGTACTGGTATATGGGGCTGCTCCTTTCTAGATGAAAGACCCTGCACTTCCCTTTGCTGAACTTCATGAGGTTCCTTTCTGCACATCTCTGCAGTCTTTCGAGCTCTTTGCCCAGTTACACTATCCCGCACGTGGCTGTAGTCACCAGCAATTCTACTCTAACACACATTGCCATGGTGCTGCTGTGCAGAAATTATTAGTCAACCTTGGCTGGAAGAGGTAGTGTGTGAGTCAAACATTTTGTGTCAGCCATTTTTTTCCGGGGGCTAGGAGAGGGAAAGGGCAGCAATCTGTGTCAGGAGCAGTTTTAACAGGGTAGTGCCTGTCTCAAGAGCTTTCACATTCAGTTTAGTGGGGTGCTGATACCTGGGCGTAAGTTTTCTTGCATTCAGCCCACTCTTTTATTGGTACCTGTAGTAATATTGTGATTATTTTACACCATAGGATGGTAAGAACTTAAGCTACATAGTGCTTAGAGGCGTTTTAATAATAATAAAAGATATTAAAAAACATCCACTGGCATTCATCCAGCTCTGAGGTAGAAATAAAATCTAAAATTTAATGACTTCTGTCACACACTTTTGGAGGGACAGGTCCCAGGGAGTAGTATTCAGATGTTGTCTGCAGAGGTATTGCTGCAGAGCAAAGCGCTGAGGTCTCTGGAGCAGCTCTGGAGTGCAGCTGTTTGGCGGAGTTGCTACACTTGTTTAACAGGTTTAACAGGCCAGGCACAACCCCCCTGGAGGTGTCAGTGCTTCTGGCAGCACTAGCTATCCCTTCCCGGCAATCCTGAACTGACAACGCCTGCTTCCCCACCTGGCAAGTGAGGTTTCCCTGCATCCCTCCCAGCGCACTGGCCTGTGCAGGGGGTTGCCTGAGGGCTCTCCCTAACAACCCTCCTTTTAACTCAAAACAGATGGAGGAAGTGGAAAACTCATGCATATATGCACTCAGCTGTGTCTTCTGTAGAAGTGTTTTGATCTCTTGAGTTTGGAGGGCTACACTGAAACAGAAGATCTGCCAGTAAGTCAAACCAAAGACATCCTTGGCATGACCCAGGCCCCTCCAATAGGACCAAGCCATGCTCCAGCACCTCGGGGGCTGTGCTCCCTGGAAGATCACCGCTCCCAGGCTGGCTGTGCCTTCATACCTGTTTGGTCAGGGAAAGGATGAGTCTGGCTTTAAGAAGGGACTAGAAGCAGAGGAAAGGATGGGCAGCTCACAGACTGCTTGGGTACCTTGCCTACCTTTTCCTCTGCACTGAGCAGAACAGAGTGACGGTCTCGTACAGTTTCTATCCATAAGCCTCGTCAGATCCAGCTTTATATCTTCTAAATGGAACAAATAAACAACTAACTTTTCACTGTCAATTTTTCTCATCTTCAAGTATATACTTTCTTAAGGCTTGTCTTAATTACTTCTTCTATTTATAAATGTTTAATGTTTATAATGTTATTATGTTGCCATCATCTGACTATTTCCAGACATTTTTTTTTTCTGTGTAATTTTCCTTGTCTTACCACACCTAATTTCATGGAAAGATCCTCCTGCAGTTAAAGTAAAGCCCATTCAGGAATCAGAATATATTCCAAGCACAGTGAGAACACAGATGCTGTAATTATAGCTGACAATTAGTTCTGAGTAAAACATTCATTGGGGAAAAAAAAAAAAAAAAGAGAGAGAGAGAAAAAACACTATTGGCTTTCATAAAATTTTTGTAAAAATGGAACATTGTTAATTCAAGATTTTGGCTAAAGGATTTTTTTTCAACACTCTCCTAATTTTGGGGATGTTCCCTTTAAAGTTTTACAGACACAGCTAAAGAAAATTCAGCCCTCCTAGTTTCCATGATTGACAGCCAGAGTCGATAGTCTGCATGTGGATGCAGTTACAGTGAGTGGCACTCCTCTGACAGCTTTTTGGGGAGGATGGACAAAAGCAATTCAATTACTGATGTAAAATTCATGTCCACTTACTAAGTTTGCTGGCACAAAGTTTGCTGGCACACACATGTAATTGTCTGAATAAACACTTTTTAGTAGAGACAAGAACTGGTGTTAAATGTCCTATGCCCAAGGGCAAACATGTAAACTTGGTATGTTTTTATAAACCTTGCTTCCAAGATTTATATCCAAGTCTTCTTTGCCTACCAGATGCGAGCAGATTGCCTAAATCACATGAGAGCAACAATCTGGATTTGGCTCCAGGATTAGGTCACATGAGAAGGCAGCACCAGGTTGGTTGCCATGACCTACTTAGCTGAGAGATGAGGCAAAGCTTCTCGACTATGACAGATCCCCTCAGTACTTTCAACCCCTGCAGATGTGGGTGCATGTGTGATGGTTTTTGTTAGATTCATGGAACCCACGAGGGATAACAAATTCACATTTCTTTTAAGACAGAAACAGGTCCAGTCCTGGAGAATGGGAGTTAGTGGTTGTGCCTGTTTTTCTTTTTGTCAAATAAGGCATTCCTCCTGATAGCTTACAGTCTGAAATACGAGCTGTGGTGGTTGGGAGGGGAAGGTCAGTCTGGAAGGGGTGTGGGAGACACATACTTCCATTCCAGACACAGACTTCTGGTTAGAAAACTATTGTTCAAGTGCAAGTTATTCAAATATCAGTGAGAAAAAAAAATCTCTTAAAAAAATCATAATGTAAATGCTAAGGAAGATAAATGGTTCTTTTGTAGTATTTCAATAGTTTCATGGTCCTGATTGCATGGAGCATTTCATGGAAAGACTTCAAAGTGCTTCTTCCTTTTCATTTTACATATGGATGCGCAGTTTGCTTTAAAATGCAAACACATTCTGCTGAAGTTATTAAGAATGCACTGAAACTATGATATACACTAGACACTAAGATAAGATAGACACTAAGAAATCCTGCTTCAAATTTTGCTGCAGTACCTCATTAATTTTCAGCATTTTTTACTCTCATCCTAGAAAAAAGCATTTTTAAACAGCTCTGCTGACACTCATTCACTGTCAAACACTGGAAACTTTTTGAAACTCCAGCATTAAAGAGCTCACATAGCAATAGGAAATAATGAAATAACTACTGTTTCCAAATGAATTACTATGAGAAGTAGCATTGTTAAATGACACTCATGTGAAATCCATGGTGTTTGAAGACATATATATCACTTTCCAGCCAATGACACAAATTTGGGGAAAGTGTGATCCAGAATTGGTAGGTTTTCTTGTTATTACCTAAGTTATTGATCAAACTAGGTCCCATAAATTACTTACAGTAGGTAAAAATGACAGTGGAGGCAGGGGGCTGTTGGAGCAATTCCATGCTTTCTACCAAAAACATACACATTTAATGTTGCCCGAACACAGCCAGAACGTAACACGAAGAGACACTTCCTTTGCTCACACTTATAAGCTCCTTTCAGACAGGGCTCTGTCCCAGGAACACTCTTCTGTGGACTCTTTTTGAGGGCTAGGACAAAAATTCCTTGCCTTACTCTTCAGATGATTTCTGCATCTTCTTTTTACTATATAAAGCCCTGAAAAAAAGCTACCAGCAAAATATTTTCCTCCTACACAGGTCTGATATTTGCTTGCTTTGGGTGGATGGATGTGGGGGATACCGTTCTGCATCACGATAAAGCAGCACACGGTTTTCTCACTTGAGTTGAAATGACATAGGTGCTACTTAACTGAAAGGAGATAACACTGGGATACTATGTTAGGCATCTCTGTGTAGAACCAGTCCTTAAGATTATGTTAAAACAACCTACTGGGACATTAGATGCTGAAAGCTTCTTAATCCAATTCAGGAAAATATGTATTACTGCATACATTAATTAGAACAAACCTTCCTACCCAGGGGTAAACTATGCTACAGGATTTATAAAAAACTCTACTTAAGACTAATGCTATTCCCAGTCAGTGATCATCTTGAAACAATGATTTTCCAGGACCACATCAACAACCTTAACCTTGCTGTAAGGCAAAGCCCAGTAACTTCTGAAGACCAGATGAATCACAGTTATTCAGTTATCACATGCCTCAAAGAACTGTGTATGTGGAATTTTAGTAGCCACAGTCTGCACTGCTGTACCAAGGTAGAGTATTGTCTGTGCTGCATATAAACTCTAAGCTACGCTATACCAAGTAAGATCTTCCTTGTATCATTTAGCAGATAAAACTGGAAGAAAAAAACACAGATCTTATACTGAGGTCCAAAGGGATATTTTAATCTCTGAGAGATTTTTTGGAAGACAAGATTATGCAACAGATATTTTATTAAAAAGTTTGTGTTCCTCCTAAGCAAAGATCATTGCAAATTACGGAATTCATGTATTATGCCCTAATACCTCTAACTTTATACCACCTTACAACTTGTAAAGCAGTGTAGAAGACACCAAGTGTGTGAAAATTATGCATATGCTTAACATTAGCTGTATGAGCAAACCAGTGGAATTTAACAGAACTCAAATATTTAAGATTTGTTGGCTTTTCCCTGTTTTATTCCCTTCCTCTAGTTACCAGGCTTTCTTTCATCACTTTCTGTCTTACTTTATTAAACAAGCCTTTCCCCTTTCCTGATGTGCCTTCTACAACTATTCCATCTCTTTTTTCTCAGGTTACTACAAGTGACAACCAAGTGATGCTGACTGCAGGTCGGAACATTAAAGAGGAGGCCACTGATCTCCCAAGATTTTCCAGTAACTCTTATCCTGTTATCAATAATGGCAACTCATACAACATTAAGCTGTTGGACAACACTGGAATACACTGGAATCTCTGAAGAATACTTCCAAACACTTATCTTTAAGATGTATTTTTTGTGAGTCTCAGTATTCATTAATTATGGTTACTTGTATTAAGAATTTTCCATACTTAATCTTGGCTGGAAAGTCTTTTT